GTGGTGACGGTAGTCCGCCTGAGGGGACTACCACCGGTGGGCAGGAGCGGCAGCCCCAGCCGCAGCAGGAGCAGCACCAGCAGCAGCCGCCATCCCAGCAGCAACCGCCGTCCTAGCAGCAGTCGCCGCAGCCGTGGGCCCGTCTCCCGCCTGGTTGGCCTGGCACCTCCGGAGGTAGTGGCCGTGGTGGCGGCCCGCGAAGCTCAGTGTCTACCGGCGGCTCCGGTGCTGTCACTTGCCAGTACCAGCTTCAGACCGGGCCTCTTCGCGGCACTCTGTCCCGCCGCCCGCACCCGACCGCCCTCTGTTTCCGCCGCCTCGGCGATCTCTTTTGTCATCGCTTTGGCCCGGCCCCGGACCTCCCCGAGTGGCACAGCCTGCTCCGCCAGGGCGTGCCGATCTTTGAGTTAGACATGGATCAGATAGGTGCTGCTTTGCATGCCTTGTATTCTGACGCTTCTAGTGTTGCTGGGTCTTATTACACTGTGTACTCTAGTTTAGGTGTTGCACCGTTGTGTAACTTAGCCTCCCCCGCTGCATCAGGCGTAGGACTGCCTAGTTTGCCTAGCCCAGTCTCTGCAACGGCTCCGTTGTCAGCCTCCGCCACAGCTTCGCTGTCCTTCACTCTCGACTCCGGTGCTTCTGCCTGCTTCTTCCGCGACCGTTCCGCGGCTCACGCCGCTTGCTACGCCTGCTGTTGTCTCTCTCGCTGACCCCTCTGCGTGTCCTGTCGTCGCTCGCAGCTCTACGTCCCTTCCCTGTCCAGCAGTTTCCTCGGGCTCCCTTACAGGCCTCCATGTTCCCTCGTTCTCGAGGAACCTGGTTGGTGTCGGCTGTCTCCAGGACCTCGCGTCACCACCACGTTCCCCGGGCACGAGCGGTTCGCTATCTGTTCTGAGGCTGAGTCAGGTTCCCCCCTTGCGACGTTCCCCCGGGACCCGGTGTCCAGTCTGCTCACCCTCGACACCGCTTCCCCCCCTGGTTGGTGCGTCCTCCCAGGTCGCTGCAGCTTGCTCGTGTCGGTCCCTCACTCACCCGTCCCTTCTCTGGCACCACCGCCTAGGTCACCCTGCTCTCCCACGTCTGCGTCACATGTCCCAGCACGGTCTTGTCTTAGGTCTCCCTGCGTCGCTCCCTGCCCTTCCTCCCTCAACTGCGCCACCGTGCACGCCTTGCGTCGAAACCCGGCTCCGCCGTGCTCCTCACTCCTCCTCGCTGCGCCCTGCTACTGCCCCCCTTCAGACCCTGCACCTGGACGTTTGGGGCCCTGCCCCCGTCCCCGGACCGCGAGGTGAGCGCTACTTCTTTGTGCTCGTCGACGACTACACGCGCTACACCACGGTGTTTCCCTTGGAGCGGAAGGCCGACGTGCCCGACGTTCTTCTCCCGTGGGTTGTGGCTGCGCGTCTTCACCGCGGTCTCCCCATGTTGTGTCTCCACTCTGACCGTGGCGGCGAGTTCGCCTCTGGTCGGCTTGGAAAGTTCTATCGTGCGGAGGGCATCACCCAGTCGTACACCTTGCCGGACTCGCCACATCAGAATGGGGTTGCTGAGCGCCGCACAGGCTTGGTCATGGAGGTCGCCCGTACTTCCATGATTCATGCCGATGCCCCCCATTTTCTGTGGCCGTTCGCTGTTCGCTACGCTGCTCACCAGCTTAACTTGTGGCCACGCTCCCAGCGGCCGCAGGTTTCGCCGACCCTCCTTTGGACCGGGTCCCTGGGTGACGCGTCTGCGTTCCACGTCTGGGGCTGCCTTGCTCACGTTCGTGCCTCTGGCACGGACAAGCTCACTGCCCGCACTGTCCCCTGTGTCTTCCTCGATTTCCCCCTGGACTCGTTTGACAGGCTTTTCTACCACCCGCCGTCTCACCGCTTCCTCCACTCTCGTGACGTCACCTTTGACGTGTCTGTCTCCTTCTACTGCCGCTTCCCTCACCGCGGTATGCCGGTTGCCCCGCCCCTGTTCCTTGCTCCCTCTCCCCCAGTAGCCCTGTCCCGTCTGGTGTCTCTCACGTCACTCCCCTCCCGTCGGTTGTCCCCCTTGAGGAGTCCGCTGACTCTGGTGGTACCCCCGGCCCGTCCTTGCCGCGTCCCCCTTCCCCTGTGTCTTCGCCTCCACTGTCGCAGTCGCCGCCTCCGCCGCAGCCGCCGCCGCCGTCGCCACCGCTGCCGTTGCCGCTGCTGCCGCCGACGCTGCCGTCGCCGCCGCTCTTGGCCCCTGGGGGTGCTGGTGTGGAGGAGGGTGTTCGTCCTGCGGCTCCTGGGGGTGCCGCCGGTGTTGGAGGTGGTTCTCGCTCTGGGGGTGTTGGTTCTAGGGGTGCTGCTGTTGAGGGTTCCGCCGATGGTCGTCCTGCCTCTGCCGGCCCGAGGGTTCCGGCCCAGCCGTCGCAGCAGCCACATCAGCCGTCGCCGCCGGTCTCCGCTCTCCGCCTGCTTGGCCTTCCCTCCCCGGACCGCTCGCCAATGTCTCCCCCACCGCCTGCTGACCTTCCTGTCTACGGTCCTGTGTTCCCGCCGCCAGACTCGTCTCCAGCCCGTCTTCCTCCTCGTTCCCCCCCAATGTCCCCTCCGCTGTCCCCTGACCCTACACCTCCGTCCCACGTTTGGTCTCGCCGTCCCTCCCGTGCTCGTCCCATCTCTCCTGTCCTGCGCTCCCACCCTATGTTGCTCCGTTCCCGCTCGTCTCGTCCTCCCCTCCTCCCGTCCCCTCCTCCCTCGTCCCTTGCTGTTGCACCTCCTCCGTTCTCTGACTACCTCTGTGCCGCTCGTCCCCTTGTCCCTCGGGTCCTTGCCTCTCTTGTTACCGACCCTTCTGTTCCTGTCTCGCGCCTTGACGCGCTTGTCGCTACTGTCGCTGACTTCGCCTCCACCCGCCGCCTTGACTACGCTACCGCTCTGGTCTCTGACCCTGCCCGTCCTCCGTCCGTCAGGGATGCTCCTGCCCTTGGCAGTGACGTCCTAGAGGACAGGCAGTACAAGCTTGCTTTCCTTTCCGAGGCTGCTCCCCATCTCTACTCCATGCTGTTCGTCCGTGAGGGTGACCCAGACGCCTTCGACATCCCGACCCCTCGTACCTACACTTAGGCCACCTCGGGACCTTGGGCCTCTCAGTGGATAGCTGCCATGGAGCAGGAGATGGCATCTTGGAGGTCCACCGGCACTTACGTCGACGCAGTTCCCCCGCCTGGGGTGAACGTAGTCGATGGTCGGTGGCTCTTCAAGGTGAAGCGCCCCCCTAGAGAGCCGCCTGTCTTCAAGGCGCACTACATGGCCAGAGGCTTCAGTCAGCGCGAGGGCGTTGACTTCTTCCAGACCTTCGCCCCGACCCCGAAGATGACCACTCTTCGAGCGCTGCTACACGTAGCAGCACAGCGCGACTACGAGCTTCACTCCCTCGACTTCTCTACTGCCTTTCTTCAGGGCAGCCTACACGAGCAGGTCTACCTGCGCCGACCACAGGGCTTCACTGGTACCTTCCCCCCTGGGACCTAGTGGCTTCTCAGGCGCCCGGTCTACGGCCTGCGTTAGGCTCCCCGTGAGTGGCATGACACGCTGCGTGCCACGTTAGCAGACCTGCAGTTCTTTCCGTCCTCTGCTGACCCGTCGCTGTTTGTGCGTTCCAGCCAGACTCTGTTCTACATCCTTGTCTACATAGACGTCCTGGTCTTCGCTACTGCAGACAGGGACGCGCTGGCCTCTGTGAAGGCCGAGCTGCTGAAGAGACACACCTGCACTGACCTTGGAGAGCTGCGTCGCTGTCTTGGCCTGCAGATCGCTAGGGACAGAGCAGCACGCACCATCACTCTGACACAGTCACACTTGGTGCGTCAGGTCCTTCAGAGGTTCGGTCTTCAGTTCTCCTCCGCACAGCCCACACCTCTACCTGTAGACCATGGGCTCTCCGCTCACGTTCCTGAGGAGCCAGTAGAGCCCAGTGGCCCCTACGCAGAGCTGGTGGGTTGCCTCATGTACCTGATGACTTGCACTCGCCCAGATCTCGCATACCCTCTCAGCATCCTGACTCGCTTTGTGGCTACAGGCAGACACCGACCTCAGCACCGGTCTGCTGCTAAGAGGGTTTTGCGTTATCTTGCTAGTACATCGGGCATGGGGTTAGTGCTAGGAGGACGCAGGCCAGTGGTCCTTACTGGGAACACAGACGCTTCTTGGGCAGACGACTCAGAGACGCTCAAGTCGTCGCAGGGCTACTGTTTTAGCCTTGGTTCGGGTGCTATCTCTTGGAGATCCACTCGCTCGTCGTCTGTTGCTCAGTCCAGCTGTGAGGTTGAGATCTACGCTGGCGCCATGGCGGCACAGGAGCTCCGCTGGCTGACCTTCTTGCTCACAGACTTAGGTGAGCGGCCTAGCTCTACCCCGGTTCTGTACGCTGACAACAGGGCCATGATTCTCCAGTGTCAGGAGCCTCGGCTTGAGGGCAGAGCGAAGCATATCCAGCTGCGGTACTTCCTCCTGCGCGAGTTACAGCAGCGCCGCCAGGCCCGCGTAGTTCACTTGGCCTCAAGTGCCAATACAGCTGATATCTTTACTAAGGCGCTTGCGCCTAAAGATCATCAGCGGCACTGTGTACAGCTTGGTCTTGTTCCTGTAGCTACTCACCTGTTAGGATCCTGATTGTGTACTCTATTATATGTACCTGTCAGACTAGCCTTGTGGCCTTACCTCCAGTGGCTGGACTAGTAATGCCGCCCTGGCTTGCTTTAGTCTTGTTTGTACTCTTGCTGACTGGTCTCCAGACCCCTGCCTCAGTGGTTGGACTAGTAGTGCCACCCTGAGCTGTTTGCTTCTTGCTTAGCGTCACCCCTTGTCTAGCCTAGGGGGTGTGTCAACTTATATATATTAGCTATGTAGAAGTTATAGGCTAGACTGAGGTATGCTTCTAGTGAGTACAACCAATTAGTATTTGTTCTAAGTTTCTCCTAGTTCATTTATTCAGTTCTTACTTTAACACAATGCTGAGGTTGCTGCCCTCGTTTCTGATATTGGCGTAATAGAACGGAAGGGATAAAGAATGGATTTGGCATTTCTGATTCTTATCCTACTTCGTCGGAATTCGCCCCAAGTAGCGGGTAAGAGCGCCCATAACCCCTCAGGCACTGCACCTGTGATCCTTTTGCGAGGACCAAGGGCAACCCCAGCGTGTATCTTGACAACATCATCCTATTTCTCTTTTCACGACATCTATCATACTTCTCGTTTCACGACATCATCCTATTTCTCTACCCTGAGCATCTTGCACTGCTCTCAGCAGCGCGCCCAACCGCTGCTCCACCTCGCCCTCATACTCCGCGTCGTCCCCCCGCTGCTGCAGCGCGCCTATGTGCGCCTGCAGCGCCTCCCTCACTCTGCCCACCGCGCTGGCCGTGGGGCAGCACCGCAGCAGCTCAGCCTGGGTGGCGGGGCTTGCCGCCAGCAGGCCGTGCAGTGCTGCGGTGGCCTGCAGGGGGGGGGTGAGCGACATGGGGAGAGAGGGTGGGCATATTCAAGAATGGCAATCAGCAAAAGAAAGTAGACCTAGGAGAGTGAGGTTCGCCTTGGACAGATTTCGGTCCGCCACGCCATGTGACTTTGCTTACAGGAAAGGAAACAGCATGCCAAGAGTAGTGGCGCTCTCATCACATGTACTGCAGTCCACAGCCCAGCTCACACACCCTTAGGCCACCCACCTTGTCCAGCATGTCCAAGTCCCACGTGCTGCTGCCGTCCTTATTCCGCCTCCACACCGTGCCCTGCCCAGCCCCTCCCTCCCCCCCACCATCTGCTGCGTCCCCCTCCCCTCCCCCCCCCTTCAACAGCCCCACCACGGCCCTCATCAGCCCCTCATCTGCCAACCTCTCCTCTCCTCCTTGCCCCTCCGCCCCTCCTTGCACCCCCTCCCCATTTGCACGCACCCCTTGTTTGCTGCTCTCCTCACCTGTCGCCCCTCCCACAATCCTCACTCCCTCTCCTCCCTCCTGCTCTCCCTCCACATCCGCCCCCGCCCCCTCACCCCCTGGCCCTCGCCCGCCACTCTCCGCCAGGCCCGCCAGCAGGAAGAGCGCCTTGCGGCGCAGGCGAGGGGGGGAGGACGGCAGGGAGAGCAGGCGCGCCAGCAGCCCCACGCCGCCGTGGCTGTAGAACCAATCGAGCGCCGCCATGTGGCCGCGGATGGCAGCAGAGAGCGCAAACAGCAGGCGAGAGTGCTCCTCCTCGCCCAGCGGGGGGACGGGGTGGGGGGCACGCAGGCGGGCGAAGAGGTGAGCCAGAACACCCGAGTCCAGCGCCTGGGATATGGCATGTGGCGAGCACAGACGAGCGGGGGGAAGGAGGTGAGTGCATGAAGCGGGAGGGGAGGGACGGAAGGGGGAAGGAAGGTGCGGGCGGAGGGAATGAGTGCGTGGCCACCCGACGTCAGCACATGGTAAGCATGACGTGAGGCACGCATGAGATGCGTCTTCCGCCTGACCTGCTGCTGCACCTGGCGGTTGTTCTGCACCGCCTTGCCTAGGACCAGCGCCGCCATGCCGCGCACCTCACCGCTCTCGTGCCCCAGCAGCCCGCCAAGAGGCTCCAGGCCGCCCAGCTTGTGCAGGTCTGAGGGAGAGTGGGGGGGGGGGAGGGAGGGGAAACGGGGCGGAAACAGACTGGAATGATGAGGCCAGCTGCCTTGAGAAGAACGGAAGATGGGCCAAGGATAAGCCAAAGAGGGTTGGGCAATGTACAGTCTGGAAATCGGCAAGAAACAACTCTCGGCACGAGCAGCGGGCAGCATGAGCAGCGCCCACCGTTGGCGTTGTGGACGGGCTCCACCAGCTCCGACAGCTCATGCAGCGCCCGCAGCACATGCACATGCGCCTCTGACGCTGCCTGCTCTGCTGCCGCCCCCGCCACATGCACCGCTGCTGCAGCAGTCAGTGCAGCGGGCTGGATGTCAGCGATGGCTGTGCGCATGAGCTCCGCATCCGATGGCATGCGCATGGCGTCCAGCACGTCCTGGTGAGCGCCGGGAGCACGGCGTGACGCAGCAGGGCGTGGGGCAGCAGGGCGTGGGGCAGGATGGGACGATGCATGCCTACACACGGACACAGTAAAAACCGACACACAGAAGTGCATGAAAGTAGACCTATTGTCACACATGCGTGTCTCACGCGCACACGCCTCTCACCCGGATGTGCTTCCTCTCGCCTCTCACCCAGATGTGCTTCCTCTCGCCTCTCACCCGGATGTGCTTCCTCTTTGCCTCCAGCTCCTCAGCCGTCAGCTCCGACACCTCCTTGGCGCGCTGCTGCAACGCCACTGGGTCCGACCGCTCTGGGGACGCGTGGGCATGGCAGGTGCGCACCCATGCACGCATGTTGGACAACCATAAATAAACGAAATTTAACGTCCTTGGGCGTGTGCATGTGAAAAACAATGCATCGAAACACAGTCAGCACCAGAGTGACTCGCATTACTCTGGCCCACTGCACCATGCCCACCGATGGCCCACTGCACCATGCAAACCTATGGCCTACTGCACCATGGCCAGCAATGGCCCACTGCACCATCCCCACCTATGGCCCACTGCACCATGCCCACCTATGGCCCACTGCACCATGCCCACCTATGGCCCACTGCACCATGCCCACCTATGGCCCACTGCACCATGCCCACCTATGGCCCACTGCACCATGCCCACCTATGGCCCACTGCACCATGCAAACCTATGGCCTACAGCACCATGCCCACCTATGGCCCACTGCACCATGCCCACCTATGGCCCACTGCACCATGCCCACCTATGGCCCACTGCACCATGCCCACCTATGGCCCACTGCAACATGCCCACCTATGGCCCACTGCAGCATCGCGTCCATGCTCTTGAATCCCGCCTCTTCTCCCCTCCCTCCGCCCCTTCCCTCTTCCCCGTCTCTCGCCTCCCGCCCGCTCCTTGATGCATCCTCCCCGTCGTCGCCCGCGCGCCTGGGGACCACTACTTCCACGTCAGCATGCTCCAGCGACGGGATCGTACTGTTCGCTAGGCCGATTGACAGCGAGGACACGTCAGAGTAGGCCTCTTCCACGTCAGCGGAACCGCGCGGCAAGTTGCTGTGGGGGATCGAAGATGACGCGGCAAGTTGCCTCGCCGCAGGTGGGGCGGCAATCGGCGTGCTGTCGTCAGGGGGTGGCGGCACCAACACGAGGCCTTGTTGAGCGGCGTGGAGGGGAAGGTGCGACGAGAGGAGAATGAGGAGCGCGAGCTGCGCTACTGCGGGTGATCTTCTGGGAGAACGAGATGGCTTGGGCATCGAAGCGGGTAGTGAGGGAGGCATGATCAGGGGGGAGCGCGCAGGGGGGGGAGGCAGGACTATAAGTGAGCCACGCTGCAAGGTGGGGTGATGATTGAGAGGCTAAGTGGGCAAGCGAGTGGCCACGGGGATGAGAAGGGAGAGATGGGCAGTGGGAGGAGAAGGCACGGCAGCATGCCACCCACGCGTGGCTTCATGGCAGACGCCCTTTCCGGCGTCATGGGTGCCACATACATGGCATCACGGCGTCATGAGTGCCACATACATGGCATCACGGCGTCATGGGTACCACATACATGGCATCACGGCGTCATGGGTGCCACATACATGGCACCACGGCGTCATGGGTGCCACATACATGGCATCACGGCGTCATGGGTGCCACATACATGGCATCACAGCGGAACAGCAAGGCGCCTCACCATGGGCCCAATCCCGCTCTTGCCAACTGCATGCCCACCCTTGCTCTCACCATGCACGTGCCTACTGCTCTCACCATGCACGTGCCTACTGCTCTCACCATGCACGTGGCTACTGCTCTCACCATGCACGTGCCTACTGCTCTCACCACGCACGTGCCTCACCATGTACGTGCCTCACCATGTACGCGCCTCACCGTGCACGCGCCTCACCATGTACGTGCCGAACCCAAGGCGCGGCATCTTAACCACCGCCTCCTCCAGCGCGTTGCTGATGTCGATGCAGTTCGTGGCCGGGCACAGCACGCGCTGCCCCACCGTGCGGAAGTTGGCCATGCCACGCCACGCCCAGCGCACAGCGCCTGTCGCTCACCTCCTGCACCCCCCTGATCTCCTGCGCCTGCGCCTGACCTCCTGTGCTGCGATGGGTGGCTCGCCTCCACACGAGCTGCACGCAGCACGGGAGAGGGTGGCGAGGGCAGGTGAGGGCAGGTGAGGGTAAGTGAGGGCAGGTGAGGGCAGGTGAGGGTAAGTGAGGGCAGGTGAGGGCAGGTGAGGGTAAGTGAGGGCAGGTGAGGGCAGGTGAGGGTAAGTGAGGGCAGGTGAGGGCAGGTGAGGGTAAGTGAGGGCAGGTGAGGGCAGGTGAGGGTAAGTGAGGGCAGGTGAGGGCAGGTGAGGGTAAGTGAGGGCAGGTGAGGGCAGGTGAGGGTAAGTGAGGGCAGGTGAGGGCAGGTGAGGGTAAGTGAGGGCAGGTGAGGGCAGGTGAGGGTAAGTGAGGGCAGGTGAGGGCAGGTGAGGGTAAGTGAGGGCAGGTGAGGGCAGGTGAGGGTAAGTGAGGGCAGGTGAGGGCAGGTGAGGGTAAGTGAGGGCAGGTGAGGGCAGGTGAGGGTAAGTGAGGGCAGGTGAGGGCAGGTGTGCATGGTGGTGGGAGGGAGTAAGAGGGGACGGACAAGGGCGTTGAGGGGAGCAGCAGAGCAGCAGAGCAACGCGGGAGAATCTGGGGACGCGGAGGCGAGGGGCTGACAGGGGAGGGACACGAGCTACAGGCAGGGGGTAGGGCGATGGGGTGTGGGGGTAAGGCGATGGGGTGTGGGGGTAAGGAGGAGGGAGGGAGTAGGTGAGAGTGGGAATGGGGAGGACGACGGCAAGGAGTGGCGTTAGGAGGGGGGAGAGGGGGTGCGGCTGGTGGGTGTGTGGGAAGAAGAGGCGGCGGGAAAAGGAAACGGGGGAAGGGTAGCGACGGACGGACAGAAGGCAAACCGCAGAGGGAGGGGCGAGGGGACGAGATGCAGGGGACGAGATGCAGGGGACGAGATGCAGGGGACGAGATGCAGGGGACGAGATGCAGGGGACGAGATGCAGGGGACGAGATGCAGGGGACGAGATGCAGGGGACGAGATGCAGGGGACGAGATGCAGGGGACGAGATGCAGGGGACGAGATGCAGGGGACGAGATGCAGGGGACGAGATGCAGGGGACGAGATGCAGGGGACGAGATGCAGGGGACGAGATGCAGGGAACGAGATGCAGGGGACGACGGCGGGTGAGCGAGGAGCAGGGGGCGGCAGGAGACTCACCTGCGCTGCTCGTAGGCCGCGACGCAGCGACGCGCGCAGCGAGGCAGAGGGAGTCCGCGTGCGGCACGCTGTCAGCGGGCCGCAGGACGCCTCGCAGGGAGGCGCGCTCGCTGCTCGCCGCTACTCGGCTGTTAGGGGTCGCAGCGCGGCAGCAGAGCAGCAGAGTTCATTGCCCGCTCGGGACGATGAAGGTTGATCTACCTGATTCCGTGGCGCCTTGCTCCTACTTTGTTTCTAAGTCTAAGCGCCAGTGGCGTAATCGGGCTCAAAGTCGTCGCGCGTCACCTGCGGCAACTCGCGCGCTGCTTCGCGTGTTGTGAGCCGCGCTTCTTCTTTAGTGGCTGACGCAGGCGCGGAATTAGTGCGAACCCTCAGAAAGCCAAAAGGTGAGGGCGTGTCCAGGCGCGTTCCAGTTCTCAACGGATCTTTCGACACCTAAAATTCTCATGTCGGCTCAACCCAGCCGCCGCTACGGTCGTTCGTGGCCGGTGTCAATCAGAGCGAGCCAGCTTGACATGAAGTTGAACTGTCATTTGGTGTCAGACTGACTTAGATGACACGAAGCGAGTCTGACACGCAGCTTGGTACCGACAAACATCACGCCCTGATGGAATTAGAAGGTCGTGAGAGTCGGGTAGGGTAGGATAGGGTAGGGTATGGTAGGTCTTCAGTCCGCACTGGAGAGCAGCTGGGCAGGTTTTGACCGAAACGAGCTCTGCTGGTTCATCCACGATTCTCGAGCGTACCTCTCGGCTTCGTGAGGCGCGCCGCATTCCGAGGGCCATTGGGAGGCGGAGGCAGATAGTGCGGCGAGCACCGCGCTTTCTGGATTCCGAGCGCATGCCCCTCCATCGTCCTATCGCCTGCTCAAGGTCCGAGTGAGCACCACTCAAAAGACACATGCCCCTCCATCGTCCTATCGCCTGCTCAAGGTCCGAGTGAGCACCACTCAAAAGACACATGCCCCTCCATCGTCCTATCGCCTGCTCAAGGTCCGAGTGAGCACCACTCAAAAGACACATGCCCCTCCATCGTCCTATCGCCTGCTCAAGGTCCGAGTGAGCACCACTCAAAAGACACATGCCCCTCCATCGTCCTATCGCCTGCTCAAGGTCCGAGTGAGCACCACTCAAAAGACACATGCCCCTCCATCGCCCTATTTCCTGCTCAAGGTTTCCCGGCGGTAGGGCGATCGCCCCTCGCCCCTCGCCCTTGCCCTTGCGCCTCCCCCCGTGCCGCGTCGCCCACATGCTCCTCCTCTCGCCCTTCCATCGCTCCCCGCGCGCGCTCGGCGCACTGCCACGCAACTGCGCATCCTCGCCCACTGCGTCGCTCGTTCTCCGCAGTCTACTTCTGCGACGCCTGTGATCGGCCATTGCATCGCGACGAGCAACAGACGTCGCACGACCGCCTGCGCCCTGCGGGCTGCGGTTGCGCCCGCCGCTCCTCGCCCTCGCTGCTGCGCCCGTGCACTCGCTGCTGCACGCCCCCATTCCCTTGCGCCCGCGGCTTCGTCTCCGCTCCGTGCGCGGGCATTCTCAACGGCGGGCGCAGGCGCTGAGGGGGTTGAGAGGGTGGATGGCGGAGCGCGGGACGGCAGTGCGACGGGGCGGAGGCTAGTGTTGGGAGCGGGAGGGGGGGGGGGGGGGGGGGGGCGGAGGGAGCGGGGGGGTTTTGGAGGAATCGCCTCTGCGGGGCATGGCGAGCTGGCGCGCGCAGCCATGGCGGAGGGCGCAGTGCTGCGCGAAGGGGAGGCTGGAGAGGCGCGAGGGATGGGGGTCATGGAAGGTGCGGCGGGGGTAGCGGGGGTGGCGAGGTTCACGCAAGGTGGGGCGGGGGGGAAGGTGCGGAGGGGCAGCGTGCGGTGGTGCTGTGGAACCTGGACAATGTGCAGCCCGAGCGTGCCGAGCCGTTCGACGTGACGCTGCAGCTGAGGGACCTGGCGGCGAGCTTCGGCGACCCCGTGGACGTGCTGGCGTACGCCAACCGCCACGCCTTCGACTTCGTGCCCGCCTGGGTGCGCGAGGAGGGGAGCGGGAGGAGGAGCGGCTGGAGGTGCAGGGGCTGCTGCAGCGCGCCGAGCCGCTCACGTGCCAGCTGTGCGGGCGCGGTGCAGCAGTGCGGCAGCGCTGAGGAAACATTTCGTGTCGCTGCACAAGCAGGAGCACGAGAAGCGCCTGCAACACCTCAAACACGCCACCCCCAAATGAGGCCCGCCTGGTCCTACGCACTCAACGGCTCCCACCGCGCCCTTTTCTGCCCCACCCTACGCCCTTGTGTGCCCAATCCCCCGCCCTTGCCCTTCTCCTCCCTGCTCCTCCACCCACCGCACCCCCCACTGCTCTGCTGCCCACCCCCCGTCTGTGCCGTGCCATGGCACCCTCCGGGGTCCCCTCCCTTGGCGAGCCATCACGGCGCGCAGCGCCTCCCTGCTGCCGCCCAACACCCCGTGCTCAGCTGCCCCCCTGGCCTCTCCTCTCCACCTTCCTCACCTTGAACCCGAGCCCTCCCCTGTTCCTTCCCCTACCCTCCATTCTCTCCCCATTTCCCCTCCTTTCCCCTCCCTCCCAAAGTCTACCCGTGCGTCTTAGCACTCCTCTCCCTCCTTCCCTCCCTTACTCTTTCCACATTCCACATCTCGTTTGTGTCTGCCCCTCCCCACCCCGCTTCCAACCAACCCCCCTCTTCCCTCGCACGTCTCACTCTTTCTCGAGTTGGCAGTGCGGGTGAGCCTCTCAGATTCGTCTCTCCATCACCTGCCCTGCCCTTGCCTCGTCTCTGTGTTGCTGTTCCCCCCGTCACCCCCATTCCCTCCCTGCCAGGCGGCAGCGGCGGCTGCGCGAGGTGTATCGCGGCAAGCAGCAGCGGTACCAGCAGGCGGTGTGCGGCATGGTGCAGCCGAAGCGCGGGTACGGGCTCATGCCCGAGCTCAGACAGGGGCATCGTCGTGCGACTGGTCAGCCAGCAGTCGCAGGTGAGCGATGAGAGGTGCGTGGCGAGGGGTACGCAGTGAGGGGTAAGGCAGGTGTGGCGTGTGACAGGTGCGAGGAAGGTAGCAGTGAGAGCGTGAGGAAGACATCTGTGATGAGTTCGCAGCCTCATCACCCCACCTCCCGCCCTCTTTCTCGCTCCTGTGTGCCCTCTCCCTCTCTCCCACCACCCCCCCCCCCCCCCCCCCGGCGGCGGACGAGGCTTTGAAGCGCGGCCTAGCGATGGCGGTGCGCAGCGGGCTGGTGGGCGCCGTGCTGCTGGTGTCGGACGACTGCGGCTACAGCCGTGCACTGGGGGGCGCCGCTGCTGCGGGGCTCACCACAGTGGCTGTGGGCATCAACGGGTCCATGGAGGTGTATGGGGGGCGGCAGTCAGGGCAGCAAACTGAGCCGTGGGTGAAGGGATGGGTTCACCACTGCGTGCAAGTGTTGCCACTGCTTGTGCTGTTTTGGAAGGCCTCGTTTGTGTGAAGGCCCACTCCACCTGCCCATGTGCGCAGTATCAGTCCGTGCACAGTTCAGTGCGTATCCAGTGCCTCTCCCCTTACCAAACCCCCCCCATGCCCCCATCCCCCCATTCCCCAGCCGTTGGTGCACCGGTGGTTCTGGTGGGGCGACGTGCTTTCAGGCTGTGCTGTGGCGGATGCCAGGAGAGAGGCGGGGGGGGTGTGGGGCCGGGGGGGAGAGGAGGCGTGGGAGGAGGAGAGGAGGGGAGAAATGGTGGGAGGGGAGGCGTGGGAGGAGAGGAGGGGAGCAGTGGTGGGAGGGGAGGCGTGGGAGGAGAGGAGGGGAGCAGTGGTGGGAGGGGAGGCGTGGGGTGAGGATGAGGGAACAGTGGTGGTGGGGGAGAGGGTGGAGAGAGTGAGTGCGGGTGGCGGTGGGGCGAGGGCTGGGCTGCTTGGGGTGGAGGACGTGGGGAGGCGGGCAGTAGGGTTGGGGGAAATGGAGGAGAGGTGGACGCAGGGGGATGTGGATGAGGGGGAGGGCGAGTGGAGAGATGGTGGGGTGGTGAGAACATCAAGGTCCGAGGAGAGTGCAGGGCAGTGGGAAGAGGATGGGGAGGAGTGGGTGGATGGCAAGTGGGATGAGGAGTGGGATGAGGACGAGTGGGAGGGAGACAATCCTCCCATACACCTCGCAACCCGGAGGATTCGGCTAAATTCCCCAGTGCCAAGTGTGTTCCAGTCAGACTTGGGGGAATTACCTTGAAATTACGGGGTAGCCTAGAACGAAAAGGAAGCCCTGGACGTGATATGTCACACCTTCTCTTCCCCCCTACCCACTTCGACGAGGGAATATCGCGCCTACGAAATATCGGCGACTTGTATTTATGTTTTCACGAGTTTTTAACTGGCCCTTGCCCGCGTACGACGGAGATTCCCGCCGTCAGTTTCTTTTGCTACTGTAATGGTTTACATTTTTTTATGGCTGCCACTCACTCGATAAGTCATGCGCACAGTTACAAAACCTGACATCTTGAATGTTGAATTCGTATCGGGGGTGTCGTATCCGCCACTACATTAGTTAAAGAAATGAAAGAACAATAAAAATAAAACCGAGAAGGGCACGACCACTCAGGGTGGCATCAGCCCTAACTCCAAAAAAGATTGTGTTTTGGACACCTTAACTCGCATGTCGGGCAACTATGAATTATTTAGGCAGCCCAAACACTGTTCACGTTTGGGTAGTCAGTGCATAGCGCACTTTTCTAACCAAGCCTCTGGGTTGCCCCTCAAGTACCCTACAGCTCACAAAATTGACGAAATTACGAGTGCCTCATAAATGAGGGTCACGACTAGGAAGGGTCTAGGGAATGAGAACGTATTTCTACAAGACAATGTTCAGTACCAGCAAACATGAAATGGAGTAGGAAAAGCGAAACAGTGAGGTCCGAGGGTCAAAATGCGAATTCCTGTTCGGTTCGATTTGGTAGTTCGCGACCACAGAACAGTATTGAACGCACTTACGTAGAAATACGCCCTATCCCATGACCACAGAAATCATAACAACAAAATTACCGAGGTGTGGCATTCCCTCCACTTCAGCACTAACGAACAAAAATCTTGGCGCACCCTGTCGAGTGAAGCCCAAGGCACGTTGTCACATCAAATCTGCAACATGTCAGTCGTCTGATCACGCGAGATCCTATAACTACAATGAATTGTAAGGCGGCGCTGGAGTTATACCTTTACGTGAAAAAGTACAAATATTTAGGACCCTTATATTACAAAGTAGCTTAAAAATATACCCTTACAGAAAAAAGCGGTAGCAAGCGAGTACCCTTACAAGAAAGAGTACTTCTAATCCTATCCAGAGGCCTGGTCTGCTCTCCCTATTAGGCCCCCTCCGCAAAGACCCGAAAACATATGCTACATGTACGAAAACCAGGTTC